AGATAGATAGATAGATAGTGCACGCTTTACTACTAACGTTAGCTAATATAGCTTAGTAGCTACTAGATAGATAGATAGATAGATAGATAGAGACTGGAAGCGTTTTACTACTAACGTTAGCTAATATAGCTTAGTAGCTACCAGATAGATAGATAGATAGATAGATAGGAAAAAGTGTTGCTTACTAGCTAATATAGCTTAGTAGCTACCAGATAGATAGATAGATAGATAGATAGATAGGAAAAAGTGTTGCTTACTAGCTAATATAGCTTAGTAGCTACTAGATAGATAGATAGATAGATAGATAGATAGATAGATAGAGGATTTATTTTGTGTTATACACAGAGAAAATAAACTTTCTGGCACATCTAAACATAGCATGCACCAAATCTGGTAGGTAAGTTTTTAGGTAGATAGGTTTTCTCATGGCTCATGGCCCAACATCACCACCTCTCACTGGAATAGCTTTTAGACCTGCTCACTAAAAGACAAACAGGAACAAAACCCTCCTTTAGCAGAGGCGATGATAATCCATAAGGTTTCAATCATAAGAAACAGAAACATGTAACATTTTTGAAATAGTGGATGTGTTTTTTTTCTCCAAGATCGAATACCAAAGAGCAGACGAGGATTCACAAAAGATCTGCAGAGCGAGAGCAGGGAGCAGGAATGAGTCCCAACATGCAGGAAAAGAAGGAGAGGCAGGAGAGAGAATTCATGACCACAATCCAACACCTCACCCCGCCACTCCCTGCTCCTCCCTGCATCTTACCCTCTTACCCACCTCTCCTCCCCCTGAAGTCTACCTCCTGCTCTTTGCCTTCACTTTCTTGCATTCTTGCCGACAAACCTCTTATCTGTTCAGATTTTTATGCTTCAAATAATGAATCATGCTGGTGGGAGGTAATCTAGCACTGTTTACATGACTCCTGTCCTGATTTACAGGAAGCTCACACACACACACACGCCACACCCTGCCTGTAAATCAAATGAAGTGTACTGCTTCAACACATAACCTAATACACAACAGCGACAGTGCACTTCAGTTCAGTATCTTAGGAGATCTTTCTTTATGGTTTTAATTTGTGATTTTGTCCCTCAAGTTTAATAAAATCTAAATAAATGTACATCCTTATCATCAAATAAAATTATAATTTGTGAATCATGTCCAGTCAGGAAATGATTCACAAATTATAATTTGTGAATCATTCCCTGACTGGACATGACCACACTTTAGATTAGCTGACCCACCTTTATTCGTCTAATCCTACCTGCCTCACCCACAATCTCTGGAACTGGCATCAGCACAGAAACACACACACTCACTCACGCACACACAGTACATTGGCAGGAAGTGAAAACACACCCAGTGGGCTGCAATCCAATTTCTCCACCTATGTTTTTTTTTTCTCTGAAGCATCTTCTCTTCGCCACACTCTTCACCACAGTTACAGATGCATTTCAAAAACATCAGATGTACAGTAGATAGATGCTTTATAAGGTTGGTAAGGCTTTTAATCGCTCACACACACTGCTCACAGTAATCCAGTTTCTACACAAATTAACAAAACTAATCTGAGCTCTAATCATGGTGAGAAATGTGCAAATGTGTTACTGTAAAAACCTTAAGCACAAAGGTGGTGAGGTAAAGAGAGAACGAAGCAAGTGAGATATTTGATCGTGTGTTTTTTCTTTATTGAATCCACCTGTAGACAAAAGATACAGATCGTGATGTAGAACAAAAGGATGTTGCTATGAGTGGAATTTAAAACCCCCAAGCAGCATTTTTGCCCTCTAGCCTGTGCAGATATGACCTGTCATACTCAGGAAATTGAGTCTGGTGATACAAAGAAAACATGTCAAGGTGGGCAGTTGATGAACAAGTATTTGTCCTCAGGGTCTGGGAGTAGATTTTCAACAGGGATTAATGATTGTCACTTTTCAGATTACTATAACTGTAATTTCTCTTTATGGTTTTGAGCCACAAACTAATCTGAGATGGTCAGATGTGGTGTTTTGTGCTGCTGCCCATCAGGAGTGACATGAGGGAGGATGTGAAGCCAAGTCTGGTTACAACATGTTTAAAGTACAGTTTATTACAGTGTGTGCTGCCATCTACTGGCTATACTCGAGAACACAGTCTGTTGCTTACCAGGAGACAGATTTCCATTGACCTAACTGACAAAATCTAATATGTAGTTTGCATTTCATGATTCAGAAGGGTGCACAAAGTATTGATCACATGTTGGAGGGCTTAATGACACAAATGACAAAATTATATGACAAATGACAAGGTTATATACTTGATTACATTTCCTTGGATTATCTGACATGTTTCCTGCACTCGAAAGATGATGTGTCCCACCGAACATGGGAGGTTTTTATGACCTATATTGGATTGGATATTTAAACTATTCTTATAAGAGGGTTTATGTAGGGGACCAACATGTCTTGTCATTTGTTTTTCTTTCTGTTAGTTATAGTGTGTAATTCCTGAGTCTCTTCCCTTTATAGATGTTTGATCTGTGAGCTGAGTTGAGGTGTTTTGATTGTATAATATTATGTTGTATTTTTTTTTAAACTTACATACATATTGGCTATTGATTCATAAGTCTTTTAGACCAACATTTTAAGATGTGAATGTTTAAATAAAAAAGGGATTTGGTAACACAATTTCATATCTTCCTGTGTCAAGCAGGCTTTGACCGACACTGGCTCCCAACCTGGAGGTCCTCCTGACCCCCACTAGGGGTCACCAAAGCTTCACTGTGGGTCATGAGGCCTTCTTGATTTTAAGGGGTGTAAGAATTTTTGTTCTTTAATACTGTAAACTTACAATTAATAGACCAGGCTATTATTTGTTCAAATCACTGAAATAAACCATCTTATATCTGTGACAAGCATCTATATGAGACAGGCTTTTAATTCATGTCACACAAAACTGCTGCACTGCAAAGACAGGCAATACAATCAACTTGTATTACTAAAATTTTGGTTTTGAATTATATATGAATTATGAGGGAGTCGCCACTTTTTGTGCGTGTTTCATTCATGTCTGTGAAGAAAACTAAAACTTTTCACAGTTGAGATTATTATTTAAGATATAAACTCACAGAATAAGGGCACAGCAAAGACCTGAAGACAAGATATATTCACAGTCTTCAATTGCTGTTTAACGACCTCTGAATTTGGGGATAAAGAAGCCTATAAAGGAAGTAGGGTTTTTGAAAAAACAAACAAAAAAAACCCCAAAACAAATCCTATAGCTTAATAAATGAGGTATAAAAATATAATAATAAACAGGAGATACCAGACTCATGATATACATGTTGTGCGTATATTGGTATATTTGTTACAAAATGTTATGTGTAGTTTTAAACATACAGTCATGTTGTCAGTAGTGCGTACAGCTCTTGTTGGGATTGTTATGAGTGCAGGAGGGTGGATGTGGCGATGGTGCAGCCGGAAGAAATATTTATATGGATACTATTCTGACACTCATGTTTTATGGATTGTGAGTGGACATTTATCAGTTGTATGGTTGGACTCTGACAAGTTTACTTACATGTCATGTTAATACTGTTATTTTTATTTACCTCAGTTTATTGCTTTTTTTCATTATGGTTTATTTGCTTCTATGCTCTGATAGAGAATTGTACAACTTCCTAAAAGTACCAGGAAAACTCATCGCTGATGCAATATTATAATAGGAATACTCCAAAATGATCATTTTACACAAACCACCTGGAGTTACTGAGTTCATTATTTGGTTTAATGGACCTTTCTCACAACAGACATTTAGACTTGTCATAGCAGGAAAAGCACAGGTGAAAATAATATTAACAATGGCATAGTCCCATGAAGTGTGCCAACAAACTATTCCAGTGAGCCAGCATGGGCAATACCAGGGCCTCCCTTAATTGGAATGCAGCTATCGTTAATGTTATTAAATACACCTGTACTCTTTCTAGTATGACATGTCAAAATGTTTGCTGTGAAAAAGCTCTACTGCACTGTTAATCAGTTGTTCTGTACTGTTATTGTTATGCAGTGATAATACCCATAAAACATGTCACTTAGTCAGGGGTCAACAGTTTACTCAATGATAAAAAAAAAAGGGGTCCCTTGTGTAAAGAGGCTGGGAACCACTGACTTGGATGATGTGAGATAACTAATACAGAGAATATGATTAAACAGTTAAATGAATACGTAACAGGTGAAACAATGAGAACTTTTTACAGTGTGGTTGATGGCAAGTCTTTAGTGTCTTATGTAGATTGGGTTGTGCCAGGGAATTTGGACTCATGACCTCAGTATTTCTCAAATCCTGGCCGAGGCCTTACTAATGTTGCTCCGATTTAACTGTTACATGACATGTTGGCTCAAAAAGAATACACTATAATTTGGAGAAGACAAGGATCTCTTATCCTGTCATTATAACCACTCATGATATGCACAGAGCTCCACTTCTGCCATGAGATGCACCAACCGCCATTTTTCTCTGTATATGCTCCAATCAAGGGTGAAAAAACACCATAGTCAAACTGAATATACAGATACTGTATGTGTGTAATCCCTACTTACAATTAACTTAATTCTTTTTATACACTTTACAGGAAGACAACATGCCCATTTAAAATATGTCTCGGTGAATCACCATTCAAGTTTCTGTAACAGTGTTTTGTGAACACAAAAGGTAGTTTAGATCCTGTCTGAGGTAAATAGATCTCTAACAGTCGATGTCAGGATCAGCAGTTAAGATTCCTTCAGGTCACTGATTGCTCTCCTCTGGCAGTTTGGTGAGAATATCCACTCCGTCAGATGTGATGACCACGGTGTGTTCGAACTGAGCCGACCTGCAAAAATGACAATTAAAAAACACATGTAAGATGTAAGGAGTAGTTCAACATTCAAGGAAATATGCATATTACCTTTTTATGATTAATTGTGAGACACTTTGTCTTTTGTTCTGAAATTACTTTTCATGGTAGTTGCACTGTTTTGGGTTGTTTTAATTTTGTGTGTTTTGAATATGTTGTAAATCAGAATTTTGGCATATATCTCTGTATTTTTCATAATAAAACACAACAATTTGGGGCGCCCAGTAGCTTGGTGGGTAGAGCAGGCGCCCCATATACGAGGGAAGTGTCCTTGCCACAGTGGCAATGGGTTTGATTCCAGCCCGTGGCCCTTTGCTGCATGTCGTTCTCTCTCTCTTCCCCTTTCATACTTCAAACTATCCTGTCGTTAAAGGCAAAACGCCCCAAAAATAATCTTTAAACGCAATTATTTTAGAAAAAGTCTGTGTTTAAGTATGGAACTGGAGCTACGACGTGATTAGCTTAGCTTAGCATGAAGACTGGAAGCAGGGGGAAACAACTAGCCTGACTCTCTCCAGATCCTAAAAATAGGCCTAACAGCACATCTAAGCTTGCTAATTAACAAGTTAAATATAATTTGGTTAAAATAAACTCACAAACAGATTATGTTTTGATGTTAAAACAACAACTTGTGGTTTCAAAGGTTTCTATGTGCTCTAATGATGCCAGCTGGGAAACCATATGGTCAGAAATAAGTGTTTTGCTGCTGCCGCAGCGGCCCTGGTTCAACTCAAGCCTGTGGCCCTTTGCTGCATGTCATTTCCCCTCTCTCTCTCCCCCTTTACACTTAACCGTCCTATCTATAAAGGCAAAAATGCCCCAAAAAATATCTTTAAAAAAAGTGTTTTGCTGCTACAGACAAACAGCAAAGACAGTTCTGGTTGTCCACATACCTTTTATCGTCTGCAGACACTGCGGTCCACTTGTCCTTCAGGATTCTAAACTCTGTAGTCCCCTCCATCACTATGGGCTCTAAAGATTAACAGAAAATATCAACCCCACGCTCATACACAGTGGTGTCCTCATTTGCACGCAAAAATGAAAAAGGTAACTCACCTATTGTGAAAGACATCCCTTCATCCATGGTCATGTCATTGTCATTAGCTGAAAAGAACAGAAAAAGAGGAGTCTCTTCATTAATGAAAATGACAATCCGGTAACACAGGCAGGGGTTTCCTATGAGCTCTACAAAGCTCTACTGGTTGCTTTCACAAGACGATGGACTCCAGTGACTGTAATATTTTTGGCAGCTCTTCCAAGCATCAAGCGTAAAAAAGAGACATAGCAATCTAACATTAGCTATGCTCTAAAAAAATCAGACGAATGTTGGTGCTACACTAAGTGACTAATGTTAGTCAACTCAAACTTAATTTGTAGAGCACATTTAAAAACAACCACAGTTAACCAAAGTGCTGAACAGGCAAAAAATACCTGTTAGAATAAACCCATACAATCCCACAGAAAGTTTTTTTAACACATAGTATACATGCACACAAACACACGTGATGAACACAAGGGCAGACGCTCCTGTTGAAGTCTCTGCTGACAACAGACGCAAACTCACCGTGGTGCCAGATCTCAGGGTGGCAGTGAAAGTGGGAGCCTATTCCATGTCCAATGAAATACGGACACACATGGAAGCCATTGGCGTGGGCGATTTCACTGCCAGCAGGACAAACAATATCAGCTGGCATATTACTCAGATTCAGATTGAGATTCAGATTCAGAATACTTTATTAATCCCCGGGGGGGAATTGTTTTTGTTCCAATGCTCCGTGCAAAGTAGAAATAGAAATACAGCATGAATGGAAACAAGAGATAAAGATGAAGATATAAATAAGATACTAAAATAGACAATGAAATAAATAAAATAAAATATTAAAGTAGACATTAAAATAAAATCTTAAAGTAGACATTAAAATAAAATAAAATAAAATATTAAAGTAGACAATAAAATAAAATAAATAATAAAATAATAGAAAAATAGATAAATAGAAACATTGAATGTGATTGTATGCTGTATAGGTATTTTACATGGATATATATATTGTGTGTGTGTGTGTGTGTGTGTGTGTGTGTGTGTGTGTGTTTACCTAATAGTGTTTCCTATGACACAGAGCTGTGCACCCGGCTTGCAGGCAGCGATGGCCTCATCTCGGCAGCGCCTGGCAGTTTCCACCAGTCGCCGCCCAACCTCATCCACCTCACCAATCAAGAAGGTTTCTGAGGTGTCACCATGGTAACCATCCAAATACACCTAATATGAACAGGTAGAAGTCGGTGATGGGAGCCGTGTTGCTCTGACAGGTTACAACTGAACTAATGTCTTTGAGTTTGTTTGTGTGTCTGTTCAGACATCAACTCACAGTGACATCAACGTTGATGATGTCTCCGTCTTGAAGTTGCCGACTGCAGGAAACAAGCAAATAAAAAATGAATGCCGCATACACAAAGAATCCCTTACATACATTAATACAGTTAACAATGTGTGTCCCAATAGTGCCTCACCTTTTAACTATATAGTATCTATATTTTCTATTTATTTATTTATCTAAGTGGACAACTTTTTATAATAAATTGCTCCAAAATGATACAGTCACTCAGCGGCTGTCCTGCCCATTTACCTGTCAGGTATACCATGGCAGACCACATTGTTCACAGATGTACACACAGACTTTGGGAAACCCCCGTATCTGAGAGGGGATGGGTAGGCGTTGTGCTTGATTGTCTCCTGGTGAACGATGAAGTCTATTTCATCTGTTGTCATACCAACCTGGAAGTCACAGGTCAGAATTTGTGATATTTTTCATGACAAAGAAACACAAGCATGACTTATAGTGATGAGGCACCTACCCTCAGGCTGCGTCCAGCTAGTAGCAGTACATGTCTGGCTAGCTGACATGCTCTGGTAAGGCCTTCAATCTGCTCTTGGTCTTTGATCTCGATGTAGTTGGGCCATTCTGGGACCTGGCCAGTGCCAACATAGTCAGGCCGCACAATGTGCTACGGTCAGGGAGGGGAAAGATAGGACACAAAAGATGGGTCACATTGTTGTCACATGGCATTCATCATAAAAACAGATTAATCATTTAGAGACAGAGACTAAACTGCAGTATAAAATCATGTTTAGTAGGAGCTGACTTGCCTGAGCAGGGTGAGAAAAACATGAGGCATGTACCTTGGGAACTGCATAGGCAGGCCTAACAGAAGCTGGGCGAACTACATTGTGAGAATGACTCCACTTCCTCCAGAAGAAGTGCCGATGTTGCTGACACAGCAGGGCTGTGGGGGGACCACAGCTTCGTAAACAACAAGCTCTCCGCAGGAAACCACCCAGACCTGGAGAAAAGGAGAGCAGCACAATGAAGAAGAGAGTGTTCACTTTCACAAAGCTTTTCTGCAAAGAATAAATGAGAGACCAGTGCTCTCTCTTTAGTCAACTGAGCAACTGACAGTGTTTGTGTAGGCATCACTGATAAGCAAATCATGTGACTAAACAGGATGTCCTGGTGACCTGAAGGATTAATAAACTGACCATGTAATCGCAGCATTCCCAGTTTGAGTCCAGCCAGTGAACTCTGTTGCACGTAATGCAATTCCCCTTTTTCACTATCCGATAAAGGCACAAAATGCCCAGAAATACAACATACTTCAGGACATACTGTATCTATCTAATGCTGCCACACAAACAAACTTGTGTACATTCGCACACACCTCCCAACATTCAAGACCATGCTCAAATAGCTTTTAATGTATAAGTTTGTGTATTTTATACTGTTTTATTGCTGTTTTTGAGTTTTATTTTATTAGTTTTATTTATTAAGATTATTTTGTCAGATTTTTTGTCAGATTTTTTATTGGGAAAATATTTCTGATCTTGTTTTTTTTTCCCTTAAAAAACAAGATAATAAACTTCTTAATTCAGAAAAAAAAATGAGAATTTACAGGATTATGATGTTGATAATTCCAAAAAACAAGAGCAGATTTTTTTTCTCCTGAAACTTTTCCTCATAGTTCCTAGATAAAAGTTTTGGTAATTCAGTAAAATAGGACAATTTGTTTCTTTTTCCTCAAGTGAATATATTACTCTTCTGTACTGTAATGTATCATCCAGAACAGTGGCCAAAATAAAAAATCTAAAATAATGAAGAAGAAGCTGTATCAAAGCTTTGCGACAACATCCAGTGCACAAGCATTTTTATTCAAAGTGTGTTTTGCTACATGTAATTGAATGGGAACTTGTACAAACTAAAATCTAGTTTTATGATCTTTATTAATTTAAAAACCTGGGGCCACTGTTAATTTAAGTACTGCTGACTGTTATCTGTGCAAATAATGTGCAGCGGCACATGTGGTGGCTACCTTAGTACACCTATACAATGTAATTAAATCCAAAGCTGCTGTTCTGCCATAGTCTCTTTTATGATGCCTATATTCAAACACTGAGGTCACAGATGGTGTTTACTGGACTGCGTTACATTCAGATGTGTTGTCTTTAATATTCTGCCACTGACAGATGTGAAATCAGTCTATTAACGGACCCACAGGACACACAGCCGGTTAGCTTAGCGTTACAATACGTTAGCTATAGCTAGCAAGCTAGCAGCAGCTGCCAAAACACCGGTGCTTTACACACAAAATATCCGAGCTGCTGTCGTGTTTTAAAGTTATTGTTACATGAGTAGTTTATTTTACGTAACGCGGGGACACCTGTGGTCCGCGCTGCCGCTAAAACCAGCTGTCTTTCAGAGTAAGGACACTGTTTTGACTCAGTACCTGATCTTGCGGCGAGTCCTACTGAGCAGTGCGCCGCCATGGATTTTTATTGCTGGTCACGTGGTGCGAAGTCACGTGACGTGTGACTCAGATTATTACTACTACTACTACTACTACAGAAGTTTACATTCACAGTGTGACTGACTGAAATATAAAGTTTATTGTACTCTCCAAGCCAAATTAAAAACTATGAAACTGTACATTTTATTTCATCTCATTTTTTCTTCATGTTTTATTTATTTTCCTTTTTATTTTCCCTCAGTCCTGCCTTCTTTTTATTGTTTTTTTAAACAATATATAATTATATATAATTAAATAATTGTTGTTGTCCACTATGTTGTTGTCCTCTTCAGTTCTTGTTTTTATTGTTCAACTGTTTGTTTCTGTGATGATTTCCCCCAGCAGAAAAAAGCAGCATGCCACACTACACAAACTGTTTAGAAATGGCCTGTGGAGCGTGACAAAAAGCTCAAGGTGGCGACCTGACTTCTAAATTTCCCAGGTCCCAATCTTCTCAAGGATTCTTGTGATGTGCCGGTACCCCAGATGTACCCCTAATCCAAGGTGGAGCCTCCTTGGATCAGACTTGGCTCTGACCTGTCGAGGTATGGACACAGGATCTCTGGGAGTGTCCTGTGGTGTCTTGTACCAGTGCGTTGGCGACAGATCCATTAAGTCTAGTGGGCTGTCAGGTGGGTTAATGGCATGTGCAGATGCTCATTCAGATTGGGATCAGGGGAATTTGGAGGCCAGGATGACACTTTGAGGTCTTTGTGACATTCCTTGGGCCATTACTGAGCCATGTTTGCAGTGTGGCATGGTGCATTATCCTGCTGGGGGGGCACTGCCATTGGGGAGTACTGTTGCCATGAGGGGGCGTGTACATGGTTTGTAACTATGTTTGAGTGGGTGGAACATGTCAGGTGGTATCCACATGAATACCAGAACCAAAGGTTTGCATTATTGTCTTGTCTAGCTGGGTAAATGTTAAGTCAATGCATGTTCTTAGTTAACTTTTTGTTTAATCAAGTAACCATAAGCAGGAGGTCAGTAGAGCCTAAAGTATTACTAAATATTGCTATGTATGTGTCTGTGCATCCATAGGACAGGTTTCAGTCTTATAAACTGGGTGGAGGGCTTCAACACCACCCTTCCCATCCACCCTCTGAAACCAAACCTCCCCTCAAACACCTTTTATGGGACTTTACTCCCCACAGTAGACGCCATTCCCTCCATTGTTAAACAAAGTTACATAACTCATGCTGTAGTGCAGGTAGTGGAGATATTGCAACAGGTCACAGCCTTATCAGTGACAACAAACACTGTTGATACCTCATATGGACACCTCACCAAGGTCGGCGAGATAACAATTGTTTATTTTTGTGCTGAGAATATTTTAATACCAGTTACAGAGATTGGGTGCATAGTGGTCAGATAAAAAGAAGAGGCCATTGGCACATGAGGTATTTTCACAGCAGAAGCAGCCAAGTAGTGACTAAACTGCAGTAGCAGCACCACTAGGATAGTAGTAGTGACACTATAATGGCAGCAGTAATAGAAATAGCAGTAGCAGTAGTGATAGTATTAGCTGAAGTAGGCTATAGCTTAAGTAGCCTTGTAAGAATGAAGTTTGTCTGCTTGTCTAAACTTGGCGCGTTCAACCAGCTGTGGTATTTCCATCACAGCCAATCAGAGCCGTATCTGTAGCTGGAGAAATAACCATGACTGCTGCAGAGTCATTTGACCCGGGTGGGAATGCCGATTGCAACCTTTCCCATTACATATGAAAGCCAGACATTAGTGGGTGTCAGCAGGTTTTTGTCCAGTGGAAACTGCTACTGCTAACACCCGCTAATATCTGGCTTTTTAATGCAGTGGGAAAGGTTTTAATTGGCGTACATTCCCAGGTCAAATGATTCTGCAGTAGTAAAGGATATTTATTGGCTCCGGCTCCGATCAGCATTTATGGGAATACAATACTTGTTGTATTTTAGCTGCTTTACAGGTGAGATGCAACGATGCACCACCTCAAAATACCATCCATGTCCGCCCAAGCAGCGCTCAAACATTCCACATTAGTCTGCACTGAGTTGCACTGTTTTCCAGCCTGTCTGTGATACTGAATGTGACACACAAACACCACACCCCAGGCATATTTGTCTGCTGCAGAGCCATGTAAACAGTTGTGGTCTACTAGCAGGTTTAAGGCCTTTGCACAGTGAGTCCATTTTTTACGTCTGAAATTTACGTCGTGTTAATTACTTTTGCACACTGAGTCTGAAACTTTTGTCCATCATATTTTCTGCGTTTTTCACATCTATCAGATGCCTTTAGAGATGTCTGACCAGGAATCAGTGAAGGAAATGTGGTGGCAAAACACATCTGTGACAAGACAGAGGAACGGGGTGCACAGAATCCTTTTATAACTGAGACAGCTCACTTTCAACAGGTCAGATAGTCATATTCAGGTGGATGATGAGGAGGATGAGGAGGATGTTTACTGCACACAGAATGTGGAGACAGGGAGCAAAGCTTTGCTTCTTCATGCAGCTGCAGTGCCAAATTTGAGACAGGAAGGGTAACTTCGGTGGAGAGAGGCAATAGAGGGAATGTGTCTTCTCATTTTGTCACGTATTGCACCAAATTTTCACACCAAACTTTTTTCAGATGGGGATTTAAAAAAAAACATCCACAAAAAAAAAACAGACTCAGTGCGCAAAGGCCTTTACCCGTGTTAAGAAAACCTGCATACATGTGCTAATGTTGGTGGAAAAGGCTTCTTAGGATGCATTCACATTGGCGCTATTTGGTCCGCTTAAAACAAACCCTGGTCTGCTTCAGCTGATAGATCGGTTTGTTTGGAGTGGTGTGAACGCTCTTCCGAACTCTAGTGCGGACCAAACGAGTGCACCCTGGTCCACTTGAAAACTGGGGGTCTCGGTTCACTTGCAAGTGAACCCTGGTGCGGTTCTTTTACAGTGGGAAATGCAAACGGACTATCCAGCGGACCAAAGAGAGGAAGTGAACCAAAGAGAGGAAGTGATGTACAGCGCATGGCATTTTGGGTAGAAAAAACAAAGCCAACTGTGTAAACCAGGAGAAGCAGTTTTGAAATTGTTTAGCGAGAGGATCACGGCAGGCAGATTTAATCAGTCGGCGGATAAGTGTTGCATTAAGGTAAAAAAACAAACAAACTGCGACAGCAATATATTAAGGCGATGGATTTCCATTTTCGGTCCTGGCCAATCGACGAGCCATGTTTTCTTCTTCCTCGTAATAATAATAATAATAATACATTAAATTTGTATAGCGCTTTTCAAAGACCCAAAGATGCTTACATAGTAACACAAAAGGGGTAGTGACAGACGGGGGAACAAGCAGAAGACAACTTAGCAAACAAAAGAAATGATGGGATGTAACACAGGCGGTCAGTGGGGTGGAGGTGGTTAGGGGTAGGGGAGGTCGAAGGCTTGGGAGAAGAGGTAGGTTTTCAGGCGGGATTTGAATATGGGAAGTGAGGGAGAGTGGCGAACAGGTTGGGGGAGGGAGTTCCATAGTCGGGGTGCTGTCATGCTTTTTTACTTCCTGGTCAGTGGTCGTTTCAGGCAATACAGCCCTCAAACTAGCAGCTGTTGTCCAGGCGGTTTGGTCTGCTTTAAAACGTGCAGTGTGAGAGTGAACCATTCCTTGACCAATTGAACGGAGTCCCCTGGACTATCCTGGTGTGAATGCGCCCTTAGAGAGACACAAAATTACCAAAAAAGACTCAAAACAACCTCAAAGAGACATAATACACCCAAAAATGAGGCAAAACCAGTCTCTTCCCTATGCAGGAGAGGGGGTGGGGACTTTTGCATGTCTGTGCACAGGGGGGTCATTGGGTTAGAATCCGCCCATGTTGTGGTCCTGCAACCTTAAAGATCTGCGCACTTCCGTCAGTACTGGTAGTAAAAGTGGTAGTGAGAATCTCCAGCTGCAAGGTCTCACTCAAAAGTATGTGCACTATAATTACATGTCAGTGCAAGATAAACACCTCTTGCATCATCATGAAAGAAAGAGTGCATGCACGCGCGCGTTCACTTACTAACAAGATACAGCCATCACAATAAAACCTTCATTTAACCCTCAAGTGATTTGATGGGAACTGGTTGTATGATTGATGGTGGCATTTACTGACAGGCTGTTTCTATCCCTGAGAGGCAACGCCGTTTTCATGTCACTACACTACACTACACTTCACGTACGAGGGCGTCTGCGCCTTCCTCTCTCACTGTACGTGACGTCAAACCAGCATGGCGGTCAAGGTGACTTCGGCATCGCTCCTTTAGCGATTTTCAAACCTCTCCTTTAACATGTCTGCATGCCTTCTGCTCGTTTTCTCTCGTAGGGGGTCGTTAAAGCTAGACTCCCCGGTGCTGTCCGGGTGGGGTGTCTGTGACGGGGTGTTCCGGGAGGCTGTAGCATCACTGGGCTAGCTGCCGCCCGGCGGTGGCTGCTGGCCTTGATGAGACATCCACAACCTCGGAGTTAGCGAGAGAATGCTAAAACAGCTATCAGAGGCTGTCGTGACAAATCCACAAACGCTAGCTGAAGTGCCATCTTGTCATAGCAAGAGCACAGTTTGTCGCTTTGCTCTCGTCCTGTCGCGTTTTGCCGATGTAAAGCTTAACGTGTCATTGCAACGGTTCGTGTCCTCCTCACATGAGTAGTTTGTGCTTGCTAGCCGGCTACACAGCTGTATCGTTAGTTTGGGGCTTGTGCTTTAGTGGTTTGGCTGCTCCATTATTCAGCTAGCTGCCTAACTTGCTCAACATGAGGTGAAGCCAAAGTGTAGTCGTTTCGCTTTGTGTGTGTGTGTGTGTGTGTGTGTGCCATGTCTGCTGCAGTGGGTTGTGTGTCTCCTCCACAGTAGTGGACGTTTCAAGGAGACATTCACTCAGAGCAGCTTGCATGTTTTGCTTCATGTTAAGTCCAATACACCTGCAAAACAGTGTCATAATGTTGTTTTAATGTGCATTATTTTAGGTGCAATCTACCAAACGCGGGGACCCAAGTGAGCTGAAATCAATCTTCCAGAAGGTAAGACAAAATCAGCCTCAAATGTGTCTTTAGTCAATGTCAGATTACTCATAAATATAGCATATGCATCAGCTGTATTTGTGTTGGTAGATAACAGCTCACCCAGCAGTGTTTTCACTGGGGGAGTGAGCTTGTAGGTTTGTCATGGGGTTTGAATTACAGCATTAGCCACAGTTAAAAGTCCAGCACAGTCTTCTGTTGTTACACTAAAGCATACATAACTGTAACTAACCAGCTTGTCAGTGCTCAAATTGGGATTATTGTGTTTTCTGACAGAGGTTGAAGCTTAAACACAATCCACAACAATAGTGGATTATAGTTGTTGACCTAGCAGCAGCCATTGTGTGTGGAGTGGTTATTTTGGTTGCCTGAGAAGTCTGCTTTGACTGTTGAAACATGTTAAAGGAATGTGTGGCAGTGTCATTGATAGCCTGTGGAGCTTAGTGCTTTAAATCTTAAGGTCCATATTTCAAGTTCCAGTTCAGGCATAATTGTCTGTTTGTGTTTCACGCAAGCAAGCAAGGACCACAATGTCCTTGTACTTCATGGCTCATGAACCACAGTGTCATACCAGTGGTCATGATATGTATATAGAAACATTTTGAGTCAGAGTAAAGGCTGTTGCATGTCAACGCATATGAAGTAGTGTTGCACGGTATACCGGTACTAAAATAGTACCGCGGTACTACAGTATTCCAAACGGTACTATACTGCATTTGGAAAATACTGGTACTTTGAAACTGATTCAGTTCATTAATTTAGTTAATTTATTTTACTCATTTATGCACACAAATGCCTTTTTTGTTCCCATTGGAGCACAGATTGCACAAGTGGTGTGTATGACAACACTTGTATCAACATTTGCAGCTGGCGCACGTGAAAAAAGACGAGAGAAAGTCTGCCTCGCAAAGGGAGACAACACGAGACAACACAAACTTGGTGGAACATTTCAGTTACCAAACCGTGACGTCCGTACCGAGGTACTTACCGAACCATGATTTTTTTGGTACCGTTACACCCCTACTATTTATTGTTCTAAAGGTTTGTA